CATTAAGGTAAGATGAAATTTAACATCACTCACGTGACGCAGTAATTAGAGCCTTTACTCTAGAGTCACGAAGTAAGGAGATTTTCCTGACGTCGTTTGTCCGAATCTACTGCGTACGATGGCCATTATAAGCCGTCAAATTACAAGAAAGAGTAGCTCTATTATTTAGGCTACGCAGAATTATTTGACTTTAATAGTATTGCCATCATCATTTTGTACATGTACAACTTTGCCAATTTTCAAAATGCACGTGATAAACTTAGAAGGGACAAAAATAAAAACATATGTATCTGATTTTGTCTTCTATTTTCTCCTATTACCCTCATTTTTAAGTTATGAAACCAATGCGTCTTGGTGCATTTAGTGATCATTTGAAGTAAGGTACACAGCAATTATTTAACAACCGAAAATGAGGGGAACAGGAGGGAGAAAATAGAAGAAAAATCAGATACACATGTTCCTGATTTTGTCCCTCTTAAGTTTACAGATAATCTTCCCAATAAATCTAAGGAATGTTAAGTAGTATCAAGTGTATTTTGTCTCAAGATTTGTACATGTACAAATTCATATTACAACTTAATGCGTTTTGCCTTTGACAAAGCTATACATGTACAAAATGATACTGGTAATACTATTAAAGTCAAATAAGTCTGCGTACATAATAGAGCTACTCTTTCTTGTAATTTGACGGCTCATTTCGGCCATCGTAACTGCGGGACATGAATACCAGTCTTTCAGATGAGACCGTATAAACCGAGGTCCAGTGTCGTAGTACGTGTTAGCATGAAAATGATCCCTCACTGCTCAATAGCCATGAGTGCCGAGTATAGCTATAATTTTTCAGTCCTTCACCGGCAAGTGGAGGCGACTCCGTATGAGTGAGATATTTTGGAGAGGGATGTTAAACAATCGAATAATCAAACAGAAACCTTCTTTTGTCTTTTTATAGTCTTTATGTCATTTTATAGTAAAATATCCAAGTATGAAGTAGATATGCCAGACTCGTTTTGGTCTTATATTTCGATTTCAATGGGATTCATAATATCAAGGTATTTGATGAAAAATAGTTGTGATATGAAGGTCCCTGATAAAACTTAATGTCAGATTGAAGACCACAGCATGACACGTCTTTATTTCTTGTCGAAGTTTGTGAATATTAATTCTTTCTACTTCAAAAGAATATGAAAAAGTCCTACTACTAAAAGGACACAATTGGACGCAAAGCATTACCAACACGGTCCTCAGAAAGTACATACTAGCTAATAATTAGGAACTCAAGCAAAATCTTTTTGATATCAACTTGATATACATGTACTTGTGTTAATAATCAAATTGTTTTAAGAAATTTGCAGATGAACAGTGTTAATTTAGCAGTCATTTATAATGTTAAAAAGCCTTATCTGTCATTCGTGGTTGGAATACATGCATACAGTATTGAAAAGTAGCAAGTTTTAATTCTAACTTGATGCTGATTTGATGTAATGTAATAGATTGTTTTTGGTATGTTTTATATACATCAGAGACGGGGGAAAAGAGTACATTACACACTAGATTTCAAGGGAGAAGTTGTTTTTTAAATAGCATAAGATTCAAAGATAGTTTTACCTTTATATCGAAAACAATAGTTATTGCACGTAAGAAGTAGAGTACTGTTTGTTAAACGCAGACATTTAGGAACGTTCTGGGCCATGAACGTCGTCAAACAAGGTGTATTATCTGCTACCTAAAATGTAAGGTGATCTTTCAACTAAATATTGATTAAAATTTGAATCTGCTTAAGAAAACGGACAGTAATGAAATTTAAATGAGTCCTTTAGTCAAAAATGGTGTTTTCACTATAAAAAATATTCATTTGGATGTTAATATCCACATGTGAAGCAGAAAAAGAAATCATGACGTCATAAGAAACGTAAATTACGCTTGCTTTCGTGCGCCGATGTACACTTACATGGTTTCTTTATTGTCCCCCGCTTGAAAAGTGGGGGATATTAATTTGGGTCTGTCCGTCCGTCCGTCTTTCAGTCTGTCTGTAACGCTTTCGTTTCCACACGATATCTCGAGAACCCTTTGAACTTTTGCAATGAAATTTTGCATAGCAACTCCCTATGTACTACAGAAGACCCCTATTGATTTTGAGGTCAAAAGGTCAAAGGTAAAAGTCATAATTGTATTTATGTGCAACATAAAGTAATTTATACCATCTATCAATAAATTACATATTGTTAAGATTTTTCCGGATATTGTAGTGCCACACGCAACCTGTACCAGTAATTATAATTTGATCTTGTCACGTAATCATTGTCTCAAGTCTGCATGTGCACTGTCATGAAGATGTTTTCATTCATTGAAGTCAATATCCACCTTGATTGCATTATTCGCTATATTATATAAGGATCTACCGTTTATACTACATTGTAAGTATTTGATGTGAAGAATTACTTTACGCTACTGTTTATAAAGGCCTAAATTTAGGCTGATCGTTGCACGTGGTCCTGGAATCGGTGTCTATCCCACACTGTGATGGACATGGTGTGGATAAAATGACAATAAAAGTCCTTATTTTGGGGCATTCCTTTATTCGCAGACTTGAGAACTTTGTATCAGATAATTCTGACCATCGGGTGACACCGAATTTAAATCTTAATTCGGAGGAGGTACAGATTTTTTATTCAGGATACGGAGGAGCGTCACTGGCTCAGATTCGCGCGCAAGGTACATATTACGTTAGAGACTTGCGTCCAGATGTGGTTTTGCTACAAGCGGTATCAAACGACTTGTGTAGGAGAAACACATCAGTGAATGATATTTACCGTGAGCTTGTAGACTTTATAATTTATCTCCGTTATGAGGAAAATGTGAAGAAAGTGGTGGTGCTACAGACATTGCATAGAATTCCCCCGACAAGGCGTATCCGGTTTCACGTGGACACAGCATGGTTTAACACGAGGGTGGATGAACTAAATAGACGAGTGTCCAGTTACTTGAAGAATGTAGACTCAGCAACATTCTTTCGCCTGTCTGGTTTCTGGTGTCCTAATAATCAACGGGCAGTATTTTTGGCTGATGGGATCCATTTGAATTATCAAGGAAATAAGAAATATTATAATAATGTGAGGGCTGTAATTGTTTCAATGATAAAGTCTATCAATAATGGTGGGTATTTATCTGTACAACATTTATATTTAGTCTAATTATAATACATTCTACTACGTTCATTTGATTTAATTGCTCATTGGCGATTGATGCAGTCTTTAGTATATTATTATGCTATATAAAAATAAACTCATTTCAATCTTAATATATGGCAACCCTGTGGATTGGGGTTGTTTTATTCGAATTTGCCAATATGGTGTATTATTGATAAGCAACTTACATAAACTAAACATGATTTAATTTCCAGGATTTTACACCCCTATATGGTCGGGGTTGACTTTTAGCAGGATCTTGCACCCCTATATGGTCGGGGTTACTTGGAATACAGCAGGTTTTTTGCACCCCTATATGGTCGGGGTTTATTCATGCAATATCCTGCACCCCTATATGGTCGGGGTTGTATTCATGCAGGATCCTGTACCCCTATATGGTCGGGATTTATTAAGCAATATCCTGCTCCCTTATATGGTCGGGGTTTGATCTTAGCAGGATTTTGCATCTATATATGATTGATATGATTGAAGTTACTTAAGCAATATCCTGTACCCCTATATGCTCGGGGTATTATTTAAGCAGGATTTTGCATCCCTATATGGTCGGGGTTGAATTAACATATTTTACACCCCTATGGTGGGGGGTTTATGGTTGGTAAGTTGCTGCACCCCTATATGGTTGGGGTTATTTGTTTTGTTAGAATTTTCACCAAATATGGTTGAGGTCTACTTTCTGAATGTATTGCACAAAATGAATAAGATACATACATTCTTATATTGTTGATGTTTCTAAAGATTCCTCATTAGGTTTATCCAATTATTTATATTTTCAAGAGTGTATTTTTAACTAAAGAATCAAAGTTTAAATTGTTGCTTTAAATGGTCAGGTTATGAGCTCTGAAATATTTTTATTGATGAGGTTCATATCTTCTTAAGAAATATTGTAGATGAATGAACCAGCTGGAGCGAGGCGACCAGCCAGAGCCAGAAGGCTAAGACGACAAGTACCAGCCGCGGCAGGTTCAGCCGATCAGGCAGCTCAGCAGGACGCTTTAGAAGCTGAACAGGCGGCTCAGCAGGACGCTTCAGATACCTTACAGCCGCAGCTAGTAGCTGCTGTAACGGAGCAAGTCCTAAAGGCAATCCGCGAACAGTCGGCTGGTGGTCAATCTGGGGAGGAAAGAGGACGTGAACGCCAAAGAAGCTCGAGAGGAAGGAAATGTAGAAGACGGTCCTCTTCAGGTAGCATGTTAGACTCTAGTTCAGATCGAGATAAGTCAGATAATGACTCAGAGGACAGCTCATCCAGTGAGGAGAGTGATTCAGATGATGAGCAACAGCTCTTATCAACTCCAATTTCTTCTCAAGTCGATACTAAACTCAAAAACAAAATATGGCAAAACAAGTACATTGACTTTGCAAAATTAATACCAAAAGATGATTTTAGTAGGGATAAGTCAGTACACTTGCAAAGTATGGGTAAATCAGAATTTAAGTTTGTGACCTCAAAATCAAAAACAGCCATTAAATCTATTAAAATTTTTGGCCATTTACTCTGAGAAATTCCCCAACTTGGTACCAGCGGTCATCAAACATGGCGAAATAGTGCGCCAGCTAGCTAGCAGACGCACAGGTTTGGCATGGTTATCATATGATAGGCAAGTCCGCAAGGACATAGAATCAATGTCAATTCCATGGGGGCAACTGCACTATGAGTACTGGGTTATGGCCACCACATCGCGACAATCTAATTATGGCAATCAGACACATAATTTTCGTGGCCGATACCAATTCCAAAACAAAGGTGTGGGGGGGGGGGCTATAAAGGCAAGAGAATACCCCAGGGATATTGTTATGCTTTCCACAAAACGGGACGTTGCGCATCCCAGAACTGTCAATACAAGCACCTTTGCCCTCAGTGCAGGAAGCCACACTCAGTGCTTTTCTGCACATGGGGAGATCAATCGCAAACCACTGTCCCAGGGTCCCAAACCAGACAAAAAGAACCCACTAGTACAAGCAAATAGATTAATTGTCACTCCCGTAAGAGTATTAACCCTTGAACACTTTCTTAATGGGTATGATGAAGATTTAAAAACATTTTTATGTAAGGGTTTTGGGGAAGGTTTTCATCTTCAATATAATGGGCCGAGACAGTCAAGGCGTTCATCTAATTTACTTTCGGTAAAAGAACATGAAGATATTGTAACACTAAAACTGCAGAAAGAAATTTCTCTTGGTAGGATTGAAGGTCCATTTGAGGTACCCCCTTTTGAAAATCTTCAATGTTCCCCTATTGGTCTTGTCCCAAAGAAAGAAATAAATGAATTTCGCCTTATTCACCACTTATCTTATCCTGAAGGGGGTTCTGTGAATGATTTTATCCCTGATGATCTATGCTCAGTATCTTATACAACAATTGATGATGCAATTAAACTTATCAAAAAAATTGGAAAAAATTGTTTGCTAGCGAAAACAGACATCGCATCAGCATTTCGAATTTTACCGGTTCATCCAAACGATCATGAGCTATTAGGAATTCAGTTTAAGGGTTCTTTTTATTATGACAAGTGCCTTCCCATGGGATGTTCTATATCGTGCTCTATTTTTGAGACATTTAGCACAGCATTACAATGGATTGCTTGCAGCAAATTTGGGGTTCCCAATATGTTGCACATATTGGATGATTTTCTTTTTATAGGTCCTCCTAATTCTGCCATTTGTCATTCATCATTAAAACAATTCTTATCTATGTGTGATGTTCTTGGAATCCCAATCAAGTCCGAAAAAACAGAGGGACCTTCAACAACTATGGTATTCTTAGGGATAGAATTAGATACTATAAAAATGGAGGCTAGACTTCCACAAGAAAAAATACAAAAAATTAAACTTGCACTTGATTCAGCCAAAAAATGCAAAAAGATCACACTGCGGAAGCTTCAATCTTTAATTGGTTTATTAAATTTTGCATGTTGTGTAGTCGTGCCAGGAAGAGCTTTCCTGCGACGTCTTATAAATCTAACAAAAGGAGTAAGTAAACCCCATTTCAGAATTCGTCTCAATAAGCAGGCTAGGCTAGATTTAGAAGCATGGAGTGAATTCATAAACAATTTTAATGGGAAATCTATATTCATAGATGAGGTATTGCAAAACTCAGATAAATTTAACATGTACACTGATGCAGCTGGAAGTTTAGGATATGGGGCAGTTTTAGGCAAGAAATGGTTTTATGGTGGCTGGGAAGAGATACATTTGCAGGAATATGATATTACATTTAAGGAATTACTTCCTATTGTCGTAGCGGTTGAAACCTGGGGGGAGAGTTTAGCTAACAGCTCTATCCTTTTTTATTCAGATAACATGGCAGTTGTTAATATTATTAACAAAATATCATCAAAAGATGTTCCAGTTATGCATTTAGTAAGACGTTTGGTTTTAGCTTGCTTACGCTTTAATATTCTTTTCAAAGCAGAACATATACCTGGGAAACTGAATATCTTACCAGATTTACTTTCGCGTTTATAGGTCGAAAAATTCAGGGCTTTGGCACCACATATGGATCAATACCCAGAAAGCATACCAGTCAAGTACCTTCAGGTTTAGAAGAAACTGCATCTGAATTATTGCAAGCAGCAGTTTCTCAAAATACTCATTCATCTTACAAGACCGCACTTGCTGTATATGACAAATACCATAGGCAAACGTTCTCAACAAGCGCTAAATTCCCATCCCAAGTTATAGATGTAGTATATTTTATAGCATGGTTACACCGCAAGGGCAGATCTTATAACACAATCAATACATATTTAGCTGGGATCTCTTACTATCATAGAATTCAAGGGCTAGCAGATCCAACACAATTTTTTGTTGTGAAAAAGCTCCTTAAGGGTGCTCAACACTTGTCAAGTACACCTGATATTCGATTACCGATAACACCAAAAATCTTATTTCAGTTAATTCGAGCATTAAAGTTTACGGTTTGTGGAAAGTATAACAAGCGTCTTCTGGCTGCAATGTTTACACTTAGCTTTTTTGCTTTTTTGCGAGTGGGAGAAATAACAGCAAAGTCAACAAGGTGTGGGCACAAGAATTTAATTCAATTAAGCAATTTGTCTAAAGATAAAAAACAAAAGGAATTTATGACTTTGACACTTCAACATTTCAAGCACAATCACACAGACAGACCAGTATGTCTGCAAATAGCAGCTCAAAAATCCAAATCTATTTGTCCAGTACAATCAATGGCAAAGTATCTGAAAGTAAGAGGGACAAAACAAGGGCCTTTATTCTCTTTTGATGGATCTGCTCCAATAACACAGTCATTTTATACATCAGCATTGAAAAACAGTTTGGCTTTTATTGGGCTTAGCTCAAAGCACTATAAATCGCATAGCTTTCGGATAGGTGCAGCATCACATGCTTTTCAGTGTAAAATACCTGAGGATAAAATCCGTCTAATGGGGCGTTGGAATTCAAATGCAGTAAAACGTTACTTTCGAATCCCAGTATTTGATTGTATTGATGTTTCCCAATCAGGTCAGACTGTCTGATGCAGCTGTATTTTAGGGGGGTTCAAGCTCAGTACCCATAGTGTTGTTGGATTTTTAACATTGCTTTATTATAATGTTCACAAACGGTGGAACTGTAATAGGATTGTTGAACCTGTGAGTGAAGTAGAAGGCATAATGTGACATTTATAAAAATATGTAACTCTTCTGAAGTTCTGAATAACTGCAATGACTGTCTGAGGCGGCGTTGCTGGGAATTAGTGACTGGTAGTTAAAATGACTGTCTGAGGCAGCATTTTGGTACATGTACATGTAAAACTTTTTCTTATCAATACAATGACTGTCTGAGGCAGCGTTGTTGTGGACATTGAATTTTATCTGTAACTTAAATGACTGTCTGAGGCAGCATTACTTTTGTTGGTAAATGTAACTTTTAGTTAGATCACAATGCCCGTATAAGGCAGTTTGATGATGCATGTAATTTTGTTTGTAATTAATATTTGGGGACATTTTGCTTGTTCATTATGCAAAGTTTCTCAATATTGTATAGTATATAAAAATTTTACACAGGTTTGTCTTAAAAATTGTGTTATTGAAACGATTTGCTTGTACATATAGTTTGCTACTTATGTTTCAACTCAGGACTTTGTGACATACCGGTATTTTTTTACAATTCATATGACTCCTGTGGTAGCTAGGTTTAATTGTGAACAGTTTCAAGTTTGTTGGAAATGTAGAAAATGTTTTTTATAGGATACTTTGTACAGTAGAACAAATTGTGCAGTAGTTTCCTCCCTTTACTATAGATTATGTATGACAATTTTCTTATAAATGTCAACCTGATAAGTATTACGTTGTTGACATTTCCGCTGTGTATCTGCTTTACATTCGTCTCCTCTGGATGGGGCACTTGTCTATAACTTATTAGTTACTGACAAGTTTGTGGCGTTTTTTAAAGGATTGTCCCATCTTTTTTGCCAAAATTTTTTCTAGTCCTATATTTAGGTTGTTATTATATTTGTTTAATCTTAATTAAGAATATGTTTAAATATGGTCATTTCTAATTTTTGTCCGTATTTGGCAATTTTTGTTTGGCATACAAATGAATACTCTTTTACAACAACTGAAAGGTTCATGTTATATTTGGCAAAAAACAGAGCAGAGTAGACTCATGTATTGAGATTTTGGTTTACAGTCAGAAAAACAAGAACGATGGTATAATTGTATTTATGTGCAACATAAAGTAATTTATACTATCTATCAATAAATTACATATTGTTAAGATTTTTCCGGATATTGTAGTGCCACACGCAACCTGTACCAGTAATTATAATTCGATCTTGTCACGTAATCATTGTCTCAAGTCTGCATGTGCACTGTCATGAAGATGTTTCACCCACCCCCTCCCCTGCTACCTCTACATTTGTGAATGGATTATGATGTACACCGAGGCGCATAAATTTTTTGTCATATGACTCAGTTTTTTATTTAACTGTAGCTAGACATAATAAGTGGAAAATTTATTCTTAGCATGTTTGGAATACTCAGCATAATGTGTTATATCATGTTCCCAAGGTGTGTTTATTCTAGTCTTGTGTGTTGTTAAAGTGTTGTTTGCGTTTTTTAAAGGATTGTCCCATCTTTTTTGCCAAAATTTTTTCTAGTCCTATTTTTAGGTTGTTATTATATTTGTTTAATCTTAATTAAGAATATGTTTAAATATGGTCATTTCTAATTTTTGTCCTTATTTGGCAATTTTTGTTTGGCATACAAATAAATACTCTTTAACAACAACTGAAAGGTTTATGTTATATTTGGCAAAAACAGAGCAGAGTAGACTCATGTATTGAGATTTTGGTTTACAGTCAGAAAAACAAGAACGATGGTATAAATTAACAAATTCTCTCTCACTACTGAATTAAATATCCCCTTAGATTCCAAAAAATCCCCTGTTGTCCTCCTATTAGTCCTGACATTTTCCTGTCTCTCCTTGACTTTCTCCTATGATCCCCTGTCGTTGTCCCTGCTCTCCCTGCCCAGTCCCTGTCGTCCCCTGTCGTTGTCCCTGCCTTCCCTGTCTATTCCCTGTCGTCCCCTGACATTTTCTGATCTCCCTGTCCAGTCCCTGTCGTCCCCTGTCGTTGTCCCTGCCTTCCTTGTCTACTCCCTGTCGTCCCCTGACATTTATTTTGGCCAAAAAAGGAGTTTAAAATATATTCTTGTTGCATTTCAGAGTGGAAAATGGTAGAGTCTTTAAAACTTTCTTTATTTATTTTATTTATTCATTTATTTATTTATTTATTTTAAATATCGACTTAGTAAAAAGTTAACACATTTTTAAATGCCTTAACTAAATCCTCTGTAATTTAGTTTCTATTACTTGTATCAATATGATTTTTTTAGTTTGGTAGCATTTCGAATTCGGGGGGAGAATTGCATCGATTCTAAAGAAGAAATAGATTACAAAATTATTGCATCTTGTGATGCTAGACGGCATATACATTGTACTTTATGAGCCTTTTATATATATTTATAAACTTTTTCATTTTTAACTTGATAAACTTTGAAACATCTTTGAGCGTAATAACTGTCTTTGTAAAAGAACTAGATTTAAACATTTGGGAATACATTATCAAATCTATTCATGGGATATTTCTTTCCCAAAGAATTCAATGAATAAGAAATCAATTAAAAGGAATGATATATAAATGCAGTAATAAAATAAACGTCTTAGTAATAAATAAAAATTATTAAATTAACAATAAATTCATTTTATACATTAATTTTCTTGTGTGAATAAGTCTACAAATAGACTGAATTAAAAATGAATGAATAAATAGATAGAAAAATAAATAAATAAATAATGAGAATAATATATTTTTTCAAATTATTTTTTAATTTATCACTCATTTATATCCCAAAAATTTGATTTATTAGTTTTATTTTATTTATTTGCTGAAATTTGCTACAAAGTATTTTATTAGCATATTAAAACGACTTTTTATTACTTTAAGTCCATGATGGATATCAAAATAACCGTCTCATTATGCACAATATTAATCTGTCAATTTGATTTTAGATACCTTGATTTGATTTTAAAAATCGGTTTTCAAAACCCTAGCATGGTTCTGAAAGAACATCAAAGCCATTGATGTTTATCAGTAATTAACTCGGGGTATACGGTCATGACACCTATTATCTTTTTCACTGACCGCTATTCCCTGTTTTTGTTGTGGCAGGACGACCGTGTGTAGATTGCAGCTGTTTGAAATAACAATTTCTCTTTGTATGAGAACTGATTTCTTCAATTAAAACAAACTAAAAGTATCAAAGAAACTATTGATGGGTAAAGATTGTGCATAATGAGACGATTATTTTGATACTCATCATGGAAGTAAAATAATTAAAAGTAGTTAAAATATGCTTCAAAAATACTTTGATACATATTTATCGTAAATCAGTTTGCATAAAAGAATCCAAACAAATCCCCATTTTCGGGTATATGATTATATAATTTGTTGGTATCGTCAATTTAAAATTAAAAAGATTTTTTTTTTATTTTGATTTAATACATGCAGTAAACTAGATTATTTTTTATTTACTAACTATTTAAAATCAATTATTGTATTGATTTTAAAAACTAAAATATTCCAAAATGTGCCAGTACCCCTGCTGTCTTTTCTTCTTTTTTTTCTTTACAAAGGGTACAAAGTCACTCGATTATTCAATGAATAAAACAGATTACATCGACATAATTACATAGTAAATAAATAAAATAAAATAAAACAATAAATAATTTTTATAAAAGTATAAATCTCTTTTCTTATTTGTTTACTGAAAATACAACAAATTGGTCAATCATTTATGATTTGCGCAAGAAAAATTGGATTTTTTATTGGTTTTTATTTTGTTTGTTTTCTTTTTTTGTTTTTGTTTTGTTTTTTGTTTTTTGTTGTTTTTTTTTTCTTATATATTACATAAACCGTTGCATCCTTAGATGTGCTACAAAGTATTTTA